GCTGTTTGCTCTGGTTGTTTGGCCATCGGCCATTTTGTCTGTCGAAATGCAGCATTGTTCCTGCTGGCGCCAGATACACCACATACGTGCGTGCAGTTGAGAGCAGTGGGAATACTCTACAAGAGAGGAGCTAGTCAGAGAGAGAGAGAGAGCGATGCAGAGAGGGAGAAAGCGTCAGGGATTCTAGATGCAGCGCAGTACGAGGCAACGTGGCATCAGATGCGCGTCTAGCTTCTCGCGGGGACCGCACCCAGTCGACGGCCCCTGCTTTAAGAGCAGCCAAGAGAGGCCAAGACTATGCTTATCGTTCGCTGTTTGTTGTGCTTTTGCCGCTCTCTCTCGCCGACCGCTGACTGGCGCTCATGGCACAGGTCCCAGAATCGGTCCTGGAGCACTCGGAGGGGAGACAAGGAGGCAGGGCATCCTTCTGCAATATATTATAGCTTTATGAACGAATGTGTTGCGCTTGGGCGCGGTCTTTGGCAGCAGCGAAAGGCACGCAGGGGGGTTGGCCTCACGTTTGGGCAGAGCTAACCAGTGGCTACCAGCCGTGAGCAGGGTGCCGAGCTTGGCATCGCTGTAGAAAGCGCCCTGGAAGATGTCAAATCCTGGACTAAAAGTCTGCATGATATCCTTTCTCTGGGTATCGGCTCAATTTTGACATAAGTCATCTACGTTGGCGAGGCATACGCGGAGAGGGATGGGCGCTGTGCAACGTTTACGAAGCCTCGCCCAGAATACTGCTTCAAGAAGGCTTTGCTGTGGGACATTGCTGGGGTCCATGATGTGACGAGTGATTAGTACGCGAGAGGGCGGAACGTGCGGAAATAGAAGTACCCTACTATTAGTCGTTTGCCGCTGGGCGGCTATGTCGAGAGCTGCTCCAAAAAGCGAGAGTTCTAGGCTTCGACACGACGTGCCATTCATTGCTGGGCGTCGAAGGCCTTGTTTTTTCGTTCGCAACGTATCTATCTGCGATGTACAGGAGCCAAGGGGGGGGGGGGGGGGGGGGGGGNGGGGGGGGGGGGGGGGGGGGGGGGGGGGGGGGGGGGGGGGGGGCGACCAATCAGCTGGCAACTTGTAACTATCCATAAGTTGGTTGGTTGGGTTTTTGTAGATTGCCGTGGCCAACGGCCGTTTCGCCAATTCAAGTATAATTTGTGGACGAGGCGAGCCGTAGTTCGAACCCCTGCGTCGGGATTGTCACTCGCGGTCACCGCCAACAGCACAAGAGGCAACGGCCTACTGGGATTCCGTGAGCTAAGAGAAGATCATGTTCACTTCCCTTCGCGCTCCGAAAACACGTCGTTGACCGGTCGTGAGAGGGCTGCCTCCAACTCTCCACTCTTATGCCGTAGGATGTGCGCGCCAAACTTTCTGTCACAACGCAATAACCTCGAGAGTCTTTTTTGAGTCGCGTCAGGAACCCCAATTTTCATTTGGTGCACACGTTCCTTGTGCGTTTCAGTGGTTTGTGGCAACGCGAGGAAGTGGCAGCACTGCGGAGGGCCAGTGTTCCATCGCCCACTCAGGCTTGGTACATAATTCCGTGATGCAGCAGCCGATCATCGATACATGTACAAACTCTTCTTCCAGGAGGTCATTGCGCATGTTACGTCTATTTATCCATCTATGTGCATGTAAATTAATTGCCGTCCGTTCTTCTCCTTCCGCGGCTCGACTGCTTGACTCCTGGTAACTCCTTTTGCTCTCCTCCCCACACACGGTATCGATCTACTGCTGTTTGACTGTGTGTTGTGTGTTTTTTTCCTATTTATTACGGCGACAGTCCCCCCATTTTTCGTGGTGAGACGCGTACTTTACTTTTCAGCGTATGTAGAGAGTAATACACTTTTCAGTGTATTTTTTCGTACAACTACAACCATCCAGGGTCACACAGGAGGGGGTAAACACCAGGGCTTTTCTCTTCTTTTTTTTCTGTTCATGCCCCACCTTCCTCCTGCGGTGCGTGCTGAATTTTTATTTTTGTCGCGAGAAGGGTCCAGCCGCCCCTTTCCCTCGTCAACGGTGCTGACGTCGAAGTTTGGTACCCACGAGAGCTTCTCAGCTGTATTTCGCTTTCACCCGCAAAGTTTGCACATTTTTCACCCCATGGGGATTCGAACTCACGACCTCTGCGACTAGCGGATTACGAGGATTCGGGGCGACCAGTAATGTTCGCTCTTGGAAGCGCACAAACAATGACATTCCGAATGTGGAACTTCCAAATCACAGGCTTTAAAGTGGTAGGGCCACGGATGCCATCTAATAGTGCGTCGAAGGTTAGGTGCCTTGTTGGCCAGTTCCGTTTCGTGCTTGTTAGGCGAGTGATTGCCGAGCTCGTCAAGCAGTGCTTCACCGACTTGGGACAGGTGTGACTGTACCACGAGAGAGAGAACTCCGTAGTGGGCTTCACCTTCAGAGGGCCCTCCATCCTTCGCCGGGATGATGGTGAGTGTGTACAAGTACATCGTTTAAGATTATTAATAGATCGCCGGCCTTTCGACGAGGACCCCTTTGGCTTTGCTGAGTTGCGCGTGTGGTGGTATGTCGGAGGATACCCACCTGGTGTCCACTCACACCCGCTCTTATTCTCGTGGGGAACATTGTGAGGCTGAGGTAGCACAATCGGCAAGCCGCGGGAGAGACCTACATGCCCAACATGGAGTAGGAGACCAATCTTGAGAGACACTGAACCACCAGTCTGCGAAGCGCGTGCTCAGTGTGGGGACGAAAATAATCAGAAAACTTTCGGTGTCGGCTGTCTCGCCTGCTGGTTGTGCCCGCTGCGTTTGCCCCCCTTCGGTACCCTCCTTGCAGCCGTTAAGAGAGGAGGATGCCGGTCCTGACGTCAACTCACTTGTCTTTTTTTTTTCAACTAGATTTAAATAGTGCAGCGATCATGTTTGGATCATCATTTGAAAAGTCCTGTTTTATATGCATAGCGAGGTTCAGTTTTTGCGACGTCGTTTCGCTCTGTACCTGCTGTAACGCTTTTGTCCGCGCAAGGTTGTCAGGACGAACTAGGCTAAATAGTATGTGTGCTGAATGCTCCTTTCCGGCCGATACCCCTATTGCCCCTGCCTCTGATGCCTCCTCATTGGTTGGTTGCCAGCTTCGATGCTGCACACTTGAAAACGGCTTGTGCGACAATTTATTGCGTCACCACCAGACCAGTGGATTTCACCGACGTTCGTGTTTGATCAAGAAAAAGTGGGTGCTTCGCCCGTACACAGCCATTTTAACAGAGGGAATAGTAGACACGAAAATACAACGTGCGTCTAGTTTCGAGTTTTTCACTGACCAAGCTTCTTCGCAGATACTTCGATTTTAACCTACCAATATCAACCACACATTTCAGACATAAGGGTGTGCGTTAGGAACGCCGCGGCGTTGCTCAATGTCGATCGACGAGGTTTTACATGTGGCGCCCCGTCTTCTCGAATTCGCTCGCCTAAAAGGTAGCGACACCGACAATGTCCTTCTTCAGTAGTTGGTGAGTGATATCGTCATTTAATCCATCCTAACAGCCCGCAAACAAGACAACAGCAGTGGACACAGAGAAGCCTGCCTGCACTTTCATGCCACGGGACACACACCGAGTCGTTTCCGACAGAAAAAGTACCACGGAAATAAATGCTAAAAACCTCCTCCATCCACCTGTCTGACTCCGTCTTGCGCCTTTCCCCATTCTTCCCGAAACACGGCAAAACAAACACGCTCCTCAAATGGAAGCTTTAAGACCAGCGCTGCCAGGACGAAATTGGTTGTGGCACTCCACAAAAGGAGGGATAGGACTGAATAATGTAGTTTCTCGTCGCGAAAGCCCCTCGCCCCCCGCCCACACTAGTCCTGCTAAGAACCGAAGTTGCACCAAACTTGAGCATCGCCTGAAATCGGCAAGTTACGCAATTGGTTTGTGGTCCACCAAATGAGCGCAAGGCCCATCAAACGCATACATCCTACGACCTCCCGACCCTGCTGCGCGTACCGGCTTGTAATTTACAGGTAACACAGAAAGAGGCCCGATAGACAGCACGACACATACAAGTCCCCCCCCCCTCGCCCTTCACAGAAATCAATTGTAAGCCGTTCGAAACTATGCCCTCGACACCCGAAGGACATCCCCGTGTCCTGTTGGCGCAACGGCCGCGGGTTTGAAGCAAGACGGGGGTCATCACTCGGGCTGTGGCCAATCAAATCAATCTCGCTCCAAATTACGAATATATTCCCACCTCGCAGCTTACACGTTGAGCTCGCTGGGCGACACCCAGTTCGGGCTCTCGTCCAGCTCGACCTGTCATGGACAAAAGAGAAGGATAAAAGGTTCAAAATGAGCGAGCCCAAGGGCCGGGGAAGGAAAGAGAGAGAGCAAAAAGGTGAACATCAACCAGACACGGTGGGGAATAGGCAGTTCTCCGCGTGGAGGGTGCCCACAAAGAAGTATCTGTCGACAGACGCGCACGCAAATATAACAGTACTCACTGGCCGAAGGCGCAAAAGGGACCACATGTACAAAGCAGAGTACAGCTGCTTTTTTTCTCAAAAAGGATTTGAAGATAGGTCAATATTGGGATTCACACTCAGAGCGTTGAGCATGATGTTTGTCGAATTTTGGCCCGCGTCCGAGACCTCGCTTTTTCACGCTGGCACCAGACATTTTTCATCACCCAGCCGGCTAGCGCGCGTTCGTTGCTTACGAATAAAAACAGCACAGTTTTGTCACCTTGAGGCTTGGCGTGTTGGTGATCCACTCGTTGATCTTGCCGGTTCCCGACAGGAACTCCCTGAACACGGACCCCTCCGGTGCCAAGCTGGTGAGCTCGGGCACGTCCTTGGGCAGGCACACGCCGCCGTACGGGGCGCCGACGCGCAGGCCGTACTTGCGGCTGAGGAAGCACTCGGCAGTGGAGGACACCAGGTAGAGTACCTGACGGATTCATTCATCGAAATTCATTCGGGGGTGGTGTGAACTCATGACGACAGACTCGCACACAAAAAACATGGTTTGCTCATTCTGTCCAAACGCCTACCGCCTGCTTGACTATGCTGGCGCCCCTCCCGTTTGCGAACATCCATCACCAGAAACCGTTCTCAGACTCGCACACAAACGAGAGTGTTTCGCGCAGTGGCGTACTTGACTCAAGATGACAAAAAAACAGCACACCAAAAATAATGTTAGCAATGTTTGAGTTCGATATACCGGCCGAGCAGTTTGTGTAGCACTTCAACTCCTCGTGTCACCTTCTGCGCATCGATCGAGGGGTCGAGCTCGTGGGCGAGGCCGTAGATGCAGTTGGCGAAAGAGATCTTGAGACCATTCGCGTAGCTGAGGAGAGGAGGAGAGGGTACATGCAGACATTGCAAGACCAAGACAAGAGAGACGAAGAGCAAAGAACGGGAAACACAAACGGAGACGTTGACTAGAGGCACACCAGGCTGTGCGATGTAACTGGTACAACATGAATGCAACAACAGCAGCAAGACACACAAATGGCGCGCCGCCTATTTTAACATTGAGGACGGAGCCTCCCTTGCCGTTCAATCAAACAGATGAAGCACTTCTTCATCGGTAGTATAGAAAAAAGGGAACGTTGGGACATAGATCAAAACAAATGCCACGGTTGTATCGGCAAAGACGGCTTCACTTGAATGGCAGAACTCTGAACACAGGATCACAGCTTCGTGCTCTACAAAATTGTTTGAGTGTAGCACAAGTACATTTTCGTTTTAGAGCAAACATTTTCCCACACACCGAGTATGCATCAGAGTTTCAAGGAAGGTACTTGTGTGCTATGCATATAACCTTCAAGAGAACAAATGAAGAGCGTTCCACGGGCTGGGAGTGTGTGTGGGGTCTCACTTGTGGACGAGCTTCATGAACTCAGCCTCGGCGATGGTCAACACCGTCAGCTTGTTCTCGTCTCTCCCCACGCTGTTCGTTTCAATTCCGTTTCCGTCAGGTTACGGCACCAATGTTTCCGGCATGAAGGAGAGGGGGACACGGCATACACGGACGAAAAAAACAGCAAAAAACGATGTCAGAACAGCGGCGACATGGCACCATCACACCAGTTGTTGCCAATGATGAGCTCTCTGAAGAGAGTGTTCAAACGCACGTGCTATTTGGTCAAGTGCAACTCCGAAGTACAGTACTCGATTCACAGCGGCCCCACGGGCAAGGCGGATCGCTTTCCGGCCCCATTGATACGATTGCAGTACAAGACAGTGTTAAAAAAGACAGCAAGACAGGACTCGCTTGGAATCACCTCGACTCTACCATAGCGCCCGAGTCGACGCAACGATCACTCCCGCGAGTTTCACACCATCACAGCCTCTGCAAGCGAGAGGGGGTGGCAAGCTCCGGAGGATGCTGCATCCAACCCCAAGAAAACGGATCGTCTCCAGTCATATCAGTGAATTCGTACGAGAACGCCAACCTCTCCTTGTGGGAGTCACTTATCACACCTAGAAAGTATCAGCAGCAGTTGGACATGCAAGCTCCAGATTAAAAAAACAGAAAAGCAGACCCGGAACCACAAGCACGACGTTTTTCTCACAAGTCGAGGAAGCAATTGGACATGCGGGCGCGGGTGTCATCCGCGTCCTTCGCGCAGCCGAACACGATCTGCCACGGCGCTCGGGCGTCCTCCTCGCACGACACAGCGCGGAGGAACTCCGGCTGGAAGGCCACCTGTTGTAAGAATACGAACAAAACAGGAGGAAACATAATTAAAAATTTTACGTACCGTCAAGACGCAGACACCGGGATGACAACTAGGACTTTCTCTGTAGACCAAAGACAAGCACGCAACTCGGAGAGCCCTGTTCCGTGTCAATGTATCCTATCCATACCGCATGCAACAGCACTTGTATTTGGCCGGTCAATCAGAGAAAAGTTGCGAGTCCCCTGTTATGTTCAAGGGGGCTAGTGCACGCCCTTTTCTAGCACAAAGACAGCCCAGACGCCCCAATGTGCTTGGCCCGCTCTCCTCCCCCCTCCAAAGAGCTACAAGGGCAAAGGTTTAGGGTTCTGTTTTGTCCTTGCCTGGAAGGGCTTGTCGGTCTTCGCCCGCACTTCCGCCTCCCACTTGAGGGTGGTGCCGGGGGGCACCGTGGATCGGATGACCAGGATGGGGGCCAGGCCCGAGGACTGCTCGATGAGCTTCACCACCAAGGGGATGGTCGACCACACGTACTGCAGTGAAAGACAAGGCAACGCGTTGGAGCAACGCGTTGGACAAGGCCAAAGTACGATTCGGCGCACAGGAAAATAAATGGGTCAGCTGTAGTAACGAATGGCCGAAGAGATACCATGTATGTACAAATTGTGTACCAAACGTTCATGTTTCCTTGCAGGGTGGAAGGAAATGAAACCGTTCAGTACGAACTCGAATGCGCACGAGCTCCGCCATGTTTGGGTCCAACAAAACGAAAACAACACGAGGGACGTCAAACAGAAAAGGTGAGGTGCTTCCATGATAAGAATGTAACAAAGGGCGCCCATGGAAGTCCAAGGAACGACAACAAAGGAAGGAAGGGTGACCAAGAGAGACAGTAGAGCGCAACTGTTGCCACCAGGCCCATCCGCAATATGTATATTCGGTGCCGTTCCAAAACGCCAAACAAACCAATACTCCGAGAATGAGGTCTCTTGTCAAAACGGCGCCAAGACCAAACTCACGCCCTCGAAAACGAAGTGTTAAGGCACACACAAACCAAGGCGGAGCGGTTTTCTTGGCACAGCAAGAAAACTTGTGCCACAATAGAAACAACTTCATACCTTCATGTCGAGGCGCTGCGTCTCCTTGATGAGAGGGGTGGGCACCGAAAGGAGCACGATGTCCGCGTTCAGGTCCGACGGACAGTCATCCGGGTGGAAGCACTTAACACCCGCGTCGTTCATCTTGTCGATGATGGCCGGCACCACGTCGAAGCCGGTAAGGCTGTAGTTCGTCATTCGTTCGCGGTTGGGTGACAGCAGCAGTAGCGAGACGTGAGACGGAAAAAGAAGCGGCAGTCCTTTCAGTTGAGGGGCACGTTTCAAGGGCACTGGTGGCGCGGCGAGGGGCGTTCCAGGGGGTTGTGTCCTACAATAGTGCTTATATTGAAGTGTGTACAACCGTGTGCTTTCATGTCCAATGGACGCCTGCTTGTCGGGAGAAGACGGTCCGTCACGAAGAGTGATCGGTCGATTCGGATATCGTGAATCGAGGTAGGGACATGTTTTCCAAAAAAGACAAGGCGGTGCTTCCCGAGTGATTCAATGGCACGTGCAAAAACCAACTCTACGAAGAAGAAGAAACCGCACGGTACAACACCACCAGGCGAATGTCTGTGTCATCAGCAGTAGCGGGTGACGTTGTACAGAAACAAAGAGGCAGGTTGATCCTGTGCTACACGGGCTGGGTACGTCAAACATAACACTGTCCACGGGACATTGCACCAAATCCCGGTGTTTTCAAAACAAATACCCGTACAAGCATACTGCTGTACCCCGAAACGTGTAGGCTGCGAACGAAAGAACCCCCCGGCGGAGCGCCCATGCACCCAGACGCTTCGCGGGCCGAACGCCCGAAGCCGGGAAATAGAACTGACTGCTGCTGTGCTCGGTATCGCACCCATGTCTTCACCGACGCTGGGTTGGTTCTTTATCCCGTCACCAAGTACGCCGTCCACGGGATGTTGCACCAAAACCCGGTATGTCTATTTGCGTGTTGTAGGTGGTTATATAGTTGAGGCAGGGAAACCGGTCTAAAGACACCAGCCCTCTGAACCCCACACGTGAAAAATAGTGAGGTTGGGTGGATAAGGTTCTAGGTTGGTGTGCCGGCATAGGTGCCAAGACGGGACAAGAGCTACAGCAGCAGGTCGGTACAGCAATAGTACTGCTTGGTTTTGGCGTGGGTAGGTGATACGTAGGCTGGTGCCTGGGAGTAGTGCCAGGTCCCTGTTGGGTGGAACATTCAACGGTCTGTCAAGGCGGGACCGTAAACTCGGCCGAGAGCGCGCGCCGAATGGGTGCATCTTTAATATTGACTTCCCCCTGGATACATCACCATGTTTATATTTGGCGGTAGCGGCAAGTGTGTGGACTAAGCCACCTAGTAGTCCATTTCCTTCTTCTAACACTACCGGAGTAGAACTCAAGCACAGGCCTTTGGATGGGCCGCCGCATGCGGCCACTTCCGGATTCCTTCTCCAGACGTGCATGATATAGCAGGAACCCTTGGCGGCATAGAGCATTATATAGTCTACACCATGGTTTGCTGTTTTGGGCGATTTAATGCGATACAAAAAAATTACAACTTGGTGAATGTACTAGACAGGTCAGCTGAGATTCGTTGACGTATCCTATGCACACTTGGGGGGATGACAAGTCTCTTGAGCGTGTGCGGCGATACTCTTAGAGGCGTTGCGCGTCGGCACGCCACCCTCGCGCTGCTGCTGCCGCTACCTTGCCAGCCATGCAGACCCAGCCACTAGATGTTGGTCTCTGCGGGTGGTGGACTACAGTACGACACCACGGCCGTACAACAAACTTCTTTGCGCTGTTCGCGCTATTTAGATGGCGAACGGTCATTCGGGGCGAAAAAGTCGACAACTTCAGGCTTTCAGGCCGAGATTGCCAGCCATATCTAGATACAGATCTTGAACTGCACGGAGACATTGCGCTGGTACCGAGAAGACTTTGCTCTTTGTTGTTGTTATTGTTGTTGTTGTCTTCACATGGTAGATGTAATAGACACACACATCAAATTTCAGTCTGGGCGTTCTCGGGGGAACCAAAACCCGAACCAACTGGTGTGGCGCCTGGGGGTGCCTAAGCCACGTGGCATGAGGACCACTTGACCTACTGCTAGGGTGTACAGCAACCAGCTGGCTGCGGGTGTGGGTGTGTCGGTTGGGTCTACACGGAAGGAAAGAGCGGACCGGACAGCGAGAACGAGAGAATACATTTGTACAATTGTAGAGATGTCGACAAAGAGTTCTGAAATCAGGGGCATCATCAGTGCTGCAGTTGTGGATGAAGAGACGCGCTGACGGGGGACAGGTCCAAACCAGGATTGAATCCCGCTGGGTGCTCGCTTTGCCTTGCTTACTGCTGTGCCAGCGTGCTTCTAGCGCTAGATACCACACGCATCGATTTGATGTGTCTCGGTGACGTTGGTGTCCAGCACACACTCACAACACCACGGTTGACTCCAAACTCCGCACATAGTACTCCTCGGCGTCAGCAGGCTCTTACCTGAACCCATGGTGCACGTAGGCTTTAGCATAGGCGCCGCCGACAACACCGCACCCAATCTGAGAGGAGACGCCAAGGACACGAGGTGGCGGCGAAAGAGGGAGGCAAAAGAGTGTGCGGAAGTTCCACCGAAATTGAGAACCCACACACAAGAAGACAGCAAGAAGAGCACGTGTGAGATGAGTCTGACATTTTCGAAAAGAGAGAGAGGGTGTCAGCAGCTGTCTTGCGGAACAGGGAAGCGGAGACAAGGGCACGGTGAGCCGCGAAAGAAGGGCCGTGCGGAGGGGATCACAAGCACGTGATGGCGGCATCACAACAGGCTGTACCCACGGCCGAAACAGGTTACACCGAGAATAGAGTGTGACAGGTACGTGTAGACGAGACCACGCCCACACAACTCTGGTTGTCACGAATGCTGCTGCACCGAGGAAAGGGAAAAATCCATGCCACACCTGAACGATGTTCTCCTTTCCTGGCATGTTGTTGTGTTGATGAATTGTGATGGGAACGGGGTTGACGCGAGAGGACACAAGCGTGTGTGAATGGAATAGAGATGTGTGTGGTCCCAACCTTCCGCCACACAGTAGGCGAGAGCGGGGGCACCGCCGAATGCCTACTTTTTTTTTAGGGGATTGGACAAAATCGGGACGTCCCTGGGGTACAATGTGCAAAATCGGGACGCC